GTTTATTCTGCTTTTTGTGAGGATCAACCTCAAAATCTATAAATCATAGGTCTGATATTCTAACCCTGTGAAGCCAGGGAAGCATTCATTTACTTCTTTTCCTTGAATTTCTTTCAACTAACCTTTCTATATTCTTTCATTGAAAAGTATATACTATGTAAAACATAAATTTTTGTCTTTTATGACAATTCATAAGAATAAGGGAAAACAACCAGTATTTCGTGCTAAGACAAGTTCAATTTCTATTTCCAGCAAATCGTTTATATAGAACTTTAACTGCAATCTAGTTGATTCTTTCTTTGAATTTACATCATACCTCAGTCTTTGGATACTACTTTTTATCATCTTCATCCCTTTTCTTGTACAATGAGCATTCAACTGTTTTTACAACATATTACAACTCTTAAGAACAGGATCTTCACCATTCTACAATTACGCCGATGAAGAAGAGAAAAAACGAGATAGAGACATTATCTTATCCTTATCGACTAGATGACTAACTTCATATCAAGCTGGCCTTAGGGTCGAAAAAGTAAGATGGAAATGTTCTGGAGCACAAATAACCATGAGATGGTTTCAACATGAGAGCATTACAATATGTTCAGATAAATCAGTAGTAGATTCTAGATCACTGGAAACAGTATGTTGTACACATTCATGATACTGCAAGTTCACTTGTCAAAGATTAATTGATTCAACAGACGAAATTGTCTCGAATTGATCACTTGGACTATCAATTGCCTATCCCTCCAGATGCAACACAACTATCACGTGACAAAGAGATTCTTTGTGATCGGGATTTCCAATGAAAAAAGCTTCTGAAAGGTTGTACGTCGACGTTTTCGGAAAAGAAATGACGACTAGTTGTTTCATCATACTATCATGAGATAACAAATAAGTTCGTTTCAAGAATCAAAAGATAAAGATTAGTCTCAAACAGATACAAGAAAATCGAAAATCGACCAGTAAAAGCAACTGGATACTCTATTCGCTGTTCAAAATCAGGACCGTATGTAGTCCTTCTGATAGTAAGGTACAGGAATAGTCGTAAGTGTGCAAATGGTGCCCTTTTATTTTGTAAAGTCAACAATACAATTTTCCTTTATGGAAAAAAATATGTCAAATTCGTACTTTTATCACAAAAACTATTATTAATATTCCATGTACCACTCAGTATTACAGTATAACTTTCACTTGTTGTTGTTGGCGTTGCTGTCATTTTACAATTCGAAGTAGATAAAACAATTTCAATTCTCGAGTCATGCGAACAACGAAGAAAAGAGTAAAAGATAGAAGCAGGAATCATTCTCTTTGTAGAAGTGATGACTATGCCATACTGTACTAGGCTCGGGCTCATATTTGTTGTTGTTGCTGTGGTTGAATTTCATTTAGTGGCGAATGGTTTGATTTTGCTGCGATAATAGAAAAATGCTTTATGGTTCGTGTCAATGTGCAAACTACTTTGTTCGTCTGCGTATGCTTTCTAGGAATTATCTGCCAAAAGTTGGACTTTATCTTCAGAGTCAAACCAAAACTCTAGTCGGAAACGACTGCATCAATATTTGCACTCGTGTGATATTGTAGAAGCTCAACCCATCCTTCATGAATGTCTTTCAGAGCTACTTTGTATACTATCCAAACGCAAGCTGTTTGCACAAAATGTGAAGTTTCCTTTTCACTTTTTGACAGCTACAACTACCACTACTTTCAACAGCATGACTTTCAGTGTGTTGGGAAAAAACAGATCAGCAGCACTCTTGACGAGGCAAATACTGTTATACACAAGTCTCCTTGTTTCCCATTCATACCGTACTACTACTGTTACCCTCCTTTCCAACTATATTACAAACCAAAGACGATTTGCAATAGATGCCTTTCAAAACACTATCAATACTAGTTCCAACACTATCACTCTTACTACTCACATGTTGTTTTAGACATATTTCACCCTCGGTAAACCCAGTAATTCAAAAAAACAAAGGCGTTTCTCAAAACGGACTAATAGCTACAGTCGCCATCGTCACAACTCTTTACCCAGGTGAACACAACCAAGATTTTTCAACAGTGTCCTTTTGCTTGCTTTATTTCATGGTTCCCAACAAAGTGAGTATACTTTGAACTGAAAACTTTTCCCTTGCTTTCAAAATACAAGTTTATTCAGCTTTCGTTATCTAAAGCCCCCCATCCATAATATTTCAAAATATATACTCAAATCAATAGAGTTTTGCTGCATGCTCGATCAACGCCTCCAGCGATTTTCGATATGCAATGATGGGTTTGAGCATTGGAAACAATTGAAGAAGATCGATCATTGTTGTATTTTTCTGTCGCATAGTTTACTTCACAGCTTACGATATGTCTAGTGAATTTGAACCAGAAACCGTATATGACATGGTTGTAGTACACCGAGAAAATGATGTTCGTGTAGTAACACTGCAGTTATTTCAGCTATACACTCTACGTAAACTTGGTCCCCCTTTCAAACCAGTCATACCCTTTGGTCCCCACCTCTTCGGAAGTGGAAAGACAAAATTCATACAAAGTTATTTGGAACTGGTGAATAATATGGGTGAAAGTGCACTGATAGGTCTCGATTACGTTTGTGAGTCTGAGAAGGCCAACCGAAGAGGTTTCTTGGAGAAATTAAAAAGGGCTTCAGTGTTGTACGTCGATTTAAGGGAGTTGGAGCTCACAGACCCGAAAGAACGCAACCTAAAGTGGGCAGTCTACTATTTGTTAATCAAGGCTGCCCACTCTCAAGTTGGCGCTGAAATATTGTCAAAGAAAGAAGCCTTCGAAAAGGTGGATATGGAACCTTCCAACTTAGTTCCACTCTTACGAGATATACTAAGGATTCCTTCTGATCAATATCTTCTGATAGCATTTGATGAAGTTGGTGTCCTAGACGAAAGTCTCGACGAATTTCATTTCAAGAGAACCCATGACGGCAGAGTTCGACCATACAACGACTTTTTCGGTATCATTAGTCAATTGTGCGAAGAACCCGACTTGTTTTTTATAGTTGTTGGGAAAAGTGAAGGCTTAAATATATACAATTACGTAGCTTCAGTCTCAAGGGTTCAGTTAGTATTTATTCCTCTTGCGCCGCTTGGGAAACATAGTATCATGGAACATTTGGAGAAAAGTTCTTCCTTTTTATTCACTGGGAGCCCAAAAGCTTCAGAAATTCTTTGCCATGAAGACTTCTCAACTAGTGAACTTGCAGAATTGTTGTTGGAATTGACTGGTGGTGTTCCTGGTTTACTTGTTCGAGCAATCAGTTACCTTTTGCCGTATAAATCATCCAACAACAATTTCTTATTATCTAAGGAAACCTTCTTGATCATAATGAATGATCTTTCAGTAACAAATTATTGTGTTGCGCCATTCTTACCTCGTCTGATAAGTCTCAGTGAGCAGCGTAAGCGCTTGTTAAGAATGCTTACGTTATTATCTTTGTATCGTATTCGATTTGATTTTGATGAAACTGTGCAAATAAGCTCAAATTCTGATGTGTTTTTGTTTGATCTAGTTACAGATATGTGTCTCTATCGTCGATTGGTTATAGACCCAGACCGCAACGAACGCTATGAAGTGTTGATTCCCAAGTTACTGATTGAATATATTGACCAAGGCTTAAAGGATGATCGTTTAGAATGGTTACTTTTACAGACTCTCAAGTCTCAATTTATGGAATTCTTTTATGAGTCGAAATGTCGAATTTTGGAAGGTCTTATTGCTACACTGTTTTATTTACATTTTTCTCGGCGTCCTACAAACAGCTCAATGTTTTCTACTCTTGGTCAATTGTCTCGTGTTTGGAATGAAATGAATTTACAATTTTCTTCCGAATCTGCTGCTTATTATATGAAATGTATACATTATACCAGAGCTGTATCAGGAACAGAGAGAATGACATTTGGAAGCAATGAATGGGAAAGGATAATGAAAGAAATGTTAGAATTTGAAAAGATATATATTCCATTTCATTCAACATCCCATAGTCCAGATATACTATTCAAGTTGCATGGAAGAACGAATGAGAAGAACTTGATGATTGTGGGTATTGCTTGTAAAGGCCGATGGAGTCGTAATGGTATTCGATGGAATGAAATTTTGGAAGAAGCTCACAAGTTTTAAAAACCAGTGCATGATCAAGTATTGACTAGTCATCCTACATGGCATTGTATGTTGATTATTATGAGTACTCAGTTAGCAACCAACGTATCTGAGGACTTGAATTATTCTAGTCGTTTTTATTCATCTGGCGATAGTGTTGAAGATTTCGTGATTCCTCACAACTGTGAATTGGTTATTCTTTCTGAAGCTGATGTAGAAAACTTTATTGGCAAAGACATTTTATCGAATTTAAGGAACGCTTTCAAGTCTGTGGATAATCCACATTCGAGAAATATTGGCATTTCAACACTACAAGAAATAGTTTCATCTCTTTCTAAAAATATTTAGGAATATCTCGTTTTCGTTGTTTAGTGAATGCTTCTTTGTTATCATTGAAGTATTTGAAATTTAATATTTTGTAAAGGATGTGGAGTTGCTTAAACTTTCTTTATCAAAAGATTCTGAAATGAATGGAGATTACCATAACTGTCGTAGTCTTATTTTGTAGTAAACGATTTTCATTGTCCAACTTCATGGGCAGCTAAGTATGGAAAGAATCCACCTTGCAGGTTTAGAATATCCCCTCGTCAATAGAGAATCAGCAATATTACAAGTTCTAAACGCTTTTGAAGCTACTTATCCTTCGGACTCAGAAGGTGTAATCCAAGGTCAGCGACCAAACGTGTGTTATGCACCCCAAATGTATGGGAGTGGTAAAAGCACTTTTGGGGAGAATTTCCAAACCTTTCTTTTGGCCAACAAAGACAGCTTGTTGCGTTATTTGAATATGAACAATATGTTTCCTGGCGTTGCAAGGGGTGAAAATGTAGGCGAACGTGCTTTGGACGCTTTGCTTAATGAAACTTTATATGTCAAGTTGAACCTTGTTGAAGTACCAAACGGAACTAGTTTTGAAACGACACTTTTGAAGTGGATAAGCGAGGAGGCACTTGCTGAGTTTCCAAACGGTTCAGAATTGCTATCTCAAGTTCTTTGTTGCATGAATAGTTCCGAAGAATGGCTGCAGAAACTCTTGCAAGTTACCCAAAAACGTTATTTATATCTATTCATTGACGAAATTGGAGCTTTAGAAGGTTTTGAATTCTCCAAGTTTGAGGATTTGATATACAGTTATGGACCAACTCCGGTGCACAACATTTATCGTGCCTTTTTTAGAGTCTTGTCCAGTTTGTTAGTCAGGCCTTTTGTAATTTGTGTTGTCGCAGGAAGATCAGATGCTATTATCACAAGACAACGAGATGCCAGTATTTCACGAGTAAGGTTGTCTTTTCTTTGTTTGGATCCCTTTTCAGAAGAGACTGTCAAGTTCTTTATACAAAATACGACGTATCATAATGAATCTATTCTAAAGCTTCTTTTTCCTAATCATCCAGAAGGACACGATTGGTTTTTTAAACAAATACATAGTTATACTGGTGGTGTTCCTTATTACGTTGTTTATGTTTTAAAGAAATTGTGCGAGACTTGTAGAATTGTTTCGAGATCCATTGATCCTTCAGAGGATGAAATCCAAAGGAGAATAGAGCAAATTCCTCCTGACTCTTCGCTTTCGGTGAGACCTTCTCATAGGACACCAGAGGCAATGACTACTTTCACTGCTATGCTTCTCGCGAGTATGTTAGAATTTCGTATTCCTATGGAAGAGACTCTGTTGGGTAGTGTATCTATGGGACTTGATTCCAAATATGTTCTGGATATTGCTAATCATTTTGGTTTTTATTACGAAAATTGTTCTAAGAATGAACACGGTGAAGAGATTGAAGCAAGTCTCAACCCAATAGAACAAACATTTGTCAAGTTGGTTTTTCCAAAAATTGCTTTAAAGTATATCGAAATTGAATGCTGGGATGTTCATCGTATTCGTTTTATTTGTAGTTTGTTTTCATCCATTAGTCGCTTTGACTCACCTTCTAGTCGTGGTTTCAAGTTTGAAATTATATTTACTCTTATTCTTTATGTTCGATGGTGTTTTCGTTCCAGATTGGGTGAATTGAGTCTATTTCGGCATAGTCTTGTAGAAGATATTCCTATAAAAGTTGGGCGGAGAGTGTTAGGAGAATTCGAAAAGGATCCTATTCTCAAGTGTGTTCCAGCATTGAGTTCCACAGTTGTTGGTATTCATAGTGCCAGCGAAGAAACTTATCATGTGAGTGCTTGGAAGCCGTTGTTTGAAACTTGGTTATCAAATGATGGAATATTTATTCCTACAAGGCAAAACTCCAGTGGACCTGATGTTCTTATTCGAGTAACACAAACTAGCGACAATTCTATTCTTATTGGACAAGATGCATCTTCTGTAGAGCAAATATCCATGGAAACTGAAACCAGTGCAAGTGATATTTTGAACAAACGGAGGATCTATTTGATTGGGATTGCATTGAAGTGTTATCAAATGTCAAGTCCTGGTGTTGGACGTTCTATAATTAAAGCAGAATGTGCTAAATTTTTACATCCAGTTGCGTCACAATTGGACTTGGAGAATCATAATATAATGGCAATTCAGTTTATTGTAAGCAACAAGTATACTGCAGAAGTTTCCAAACAGCTGAGAGATAACCAAAATTGGGTATTGGATAGTGGAATTTATTATGAAGACCATAACAATCATATTGTCTCTAGTCCTATCAATTCTGC